TTTATTTTAATATAAAAATTTATAAATAGTTGCAACTAACTAAAAATTTTAAAATTAATTACAGCTCCATCTTTAGTACGGAGCGATCTTTATAGATCGATTTCTCGTTGATCTACTAATTCGATTTTGACAAATTTTAGCTTATTAGAATCGCCGCACTGAGCTGAATCGGAATCCAGCATTGGTTTTTGAGTAGCCGGCCTACTGAAAAAATTTTCTATACTTAAATTCATTAAGTAAGAAATTGTGATGTAGATTGCTAAATTGCGCAAAATTGGTCGTAATAATCGCACTTCAAATTTTTACTGAATATTCTCTAGGTTTTGAGGTTTAAAATAAATGCAAAATCTTATTCCTAGCATTCGTGGTTGACGAGATATAAGCTTATAACGATGTGCAATTCTGGTTGCATTTCTTTTGCTTACCACTATATGAAAAATAGTCAATAGAAAAGGAAAAATACAAATTTTTACTAAAATTTATATTATTAAACCATTTGGCTATTTTGATCATGTGCATAAAATTAGCTTAATAATTAAAATTAACAAAAATTTTTGAATTTTTTCTTTTCTAATATTTTGTCTTTTATATAATAATAATTTATATTAATTATATATTAATAAATATTAAAGAAAAATAAAGATATTACAAATATTAGAAATAATAATAAAATTAAAAAAATATTAAAGAAATATTACAAAAAAAAAAAAAAATGGGATTAAAAAATAAATTATTTTTTTTATTTTTATATTAATAAATTAATTATAATTTACTTTGATTTAATAATTATAAAATTATAAATATCTTAAAAGTATAATTTTACCTATTTAGTAACTATAATTAATATTTTAAATAAAAATATATATTTTTATGTATTTTTTGAATTTATTTTTTTCTAATTTTTATATTAAATTTAATTATTATTAAAGATGAGAACTGTAATTAATATGTTGCAACTTTTAATGTTGCAACTTATGTTGCAATTAGTTCTAACCTATATATGTTGCAACTTATAATGTTGCAATATATGTTGCAACTAATTTTAGCTCATGTTGCAACAATTTGTAAATTTAAAATCAATTGCTGCACCATCTTTAATTATTATCAAAAAAAAAAGCATATAATACATTGAAATTTATAAAATAAGGGATGCTAATAGTTACGATCATAATCAATTATAACTATAACTGATATCAGTTATTTAAAGACTTTTCACCAATCAGTTAACTGATTATTACTATCTTCAATAAAATTATATATTATAAAATTTATAATTTTTATTAGATTTTTATTTATTTTAATTTTTTAATCTGAAAAATATAAAATTAAAATATGAATTATGATTATTAATACTAATTTTATGTAATTAATGATCTATATCAAATTAATTATTTAAGCATAAAAAAAAAATTTTAAACAGCTTCTTAAATTATTTAAATCAAATTAACAGAATATGAAAATTGGTATATAATTATATAAAATCTAGTATTAGTTTTTAGTAACTAAGCTGCTTGAATTTTTTATGTTTAAATTTTATTAAAAAAAAATATAGATTGCTAAATCATGTAAGATTGATATTTATAATTATATTTTAAGTTTTTATTAAATATTTCTTAAGACTGAACTTATTTAATAAATATATATTACAATATGTAAAATAATTAAATTAAATTATTATCAATTTTTCAATTTGAAAAATTTAAACTGAAATGAAAAAAAAATCAGTTTAATTTTTAAATTATGTTTTATACTTTAAAGAAATTGAATTTATATTAGATGAATATTATTTTAATAAGAAAAATTCATTGTAGTTACAATTAAAGATTCTTTATAAAAATGATTTTTTATTTTTAATTAAAAATCCTATTAATATCAAGAATAAAAAACAAACCAATAACTTTTTCTATATAATTTTATATTTGTAAGAATAAATTTTTTTGATTAACTATTCTAAATAATTATCTACTTATATAGATTAGCTCTTTCTCAATTAGTTACTTTATTGAAATTGTTATGATTGGGAACTTTGTTCTTAAAAAAAAAAATTTGATTACTATTATTATTATTTTTTTTTTTACTCTTATTACTTTATATTAGCAAAATGATGAGGTTGTCTCCCAGTCATAAACAATGATATCAGAAGTAATACCATTCATTACTGCCATTTTTATACCGATTGTAAGTTATAGAACAAAGTTTCGAAAAACCATTTTGATATGGAACAATTTTGGTTTTGAACAGGTTCATGGTTTATGTAATATTTAATATTCCATCATTAATGTACGGAGAAAGTAAAAAATGGTCTAAATCATCAATATATAATTTAAAATAACAGTTTAAAGATTTTCTATAATCAATAAATTCAATAACATTTTCGGGTGATAAACTCCACCATCCCATTAATTCAAATTTTGTAATATTTAAACTACTATATTCTTTTAATAATTGTAAAATATCACATGAATAATTTTCGTGTCCCTCGCTTTGTTTAATGGAATCAAATCGCAAAAATTTCAATTTGTTGCATAATTCACACAAATCTCTTAATTTTTCAAGAGTTTCTTTAACGGTAATTTTAATCGGAATATGTAAATATGTCAGGGTTTGATAATGCCTTAATGATATTGCGTCTAACAATAACATGCAACTATTATTCCTTGTCGTCCAAGTCGTAATCGAAATATGTTCCAATCCGCCACCTTTTCCTCCATCTTCATCTCCTGAATTTAAAATGAATCCCAAAAATTCATTATTGAAAGTGTTTGCACTGATTCGTAAATATTTTAATTTGATAAATCGTACGTTCGTTACTTTTATCGTAGATAAATTTTCAAAATGTGGATCTGAAAAGTTAATTTCTAAATCTTCAAGTGTATCAGCACTTTTTAATAATATATTCGACATATAAATAACGTTAGAAATCCTAACTTTTCTTAATGATTTTGTGATGTTTGGATGTGATTTAAATAAGTTATGGATTGAATGATTACCTATAAATGTTGAAATTTGTTCACCTTGAAAGTTAAGTTCAGTGATTGAATGTTGAATGCTAATAAGTTCACTTATTCCAACTTCGGAATTACGTAATAAAGTGAATAAATCGGGCGTTTCCATGGTTATGGTAAATGATTTGATATTTGAAGAATGCTTACGAAAAAGGTCGAAAACGTCATTGGACGGATACACCGACGAGCATTCAAATTCTTGAAAATTTGAAAAAAAATCTTTAAATGAACTTTCATTTTTATCTTTTAAGTAAGAAAATGCTGACAAGATTATTGAATTATTCTCTTGATATATCGATTCAAAACTTATTTTCATAACTTTTGAAAATTTTATAAAAATATTTAGTAAACTAGTTAATATTACTTCAACTTGTCTTTCAGAATCTTCGAAATAAGTATCATTATTCAACAAAGTCTTTATTATAGTAATAATTCTATCTACATGGAGATATTTTAAATATTTGGCATAATTGAATAATGGGTGATTCGGAATATCATTTGAATCAATTAGATTAAGCTCGTCTCTTTCTTCTTCTTCCATAAAATATAGATAAGGCATTAGCAAACTTTTACATCGTTGAGACGTAACTGTATATTCTTTCATTTTACTTCCTGTTGTGTTTGTAAGATTTTCTAAAATTTTATTCGTTGAATTTAGATTTGCCCAACTTAAATTTTCAAATGGATTTTCCCATAAATATGGGATTGCATTTTCGTTCCAACGTTTATTTACTAAAGAACATGAATAAAGAGTTGGAATATCTCTAACAAAATTTGAAAAAACGATTTGTAAGCAATCTGGAATTAATCGACTCATTTTTTTTTGTTTTTTGTGGTTTTTTTTTTTTTGTAAAAAAAATGAATAAGAAATATATATTTATTTTGGGGTGACTTTTTATTTATGTAATACAAGCGGCTGAGTTCTTTACAGAGATCTCGAATTGATTATTTGGGAGGAAATAACCCTAGTACCTGTACGTTCAAATTTTTAGCACATTTGAAATAAGAAAATCAACTACTTTGTAAAAAAATTAATTTAATTTACCCACTTTTAGTAATACTAAATTTTCCATATGAAACCTACAACTTTTTTCATAGGGCAGCCTCTTATTTTTCATAAAATCTAATATAGCGCAGCAAATGTCGCTTAAAAAAATTTCTTTTTACTTAACTGCTTGAAAATAACGCTGGATATGATCAAATATTATAAAAAAATGACATTTTAAGTGAGTTTCACTTCCAATTTTGAAAGTGCTTATTCTATCAAATGTATCTTATCGACCGGACATTATTACATAACTAGTTTTTTTTTTATTTCCAAATTTTGAAATTACTTGTTCTGTCAAAAGTAGTGTGTATTTATAGTATCATTTCGATATTGGACCGACCCATATGAGAATTATTGCCAAGGCTACTTATTTTTTCCAATTTTATTGAAATTTTCTTAAGATTCATGGAAAAACAAAGATGATCAGAAAAGCTTCTCCTAATTCATCCACTGGATTCTTACAGTATATTCGTATTGCAAATGGGCTCAACATTTTTTGTCAATTTATATTTTTACAGTCCATGGAAGTAGGATTTCTGGCTAGAACTGCAATAATCATTGCAATTTATGCATTAACCGCGAGAAATAACGAATTTAATGTCAACCGTCTTGAGTTTTTCTGCGGATACTTTCACGTGTCATGGGCTGTGCCAACATTGTGTGGCTTATTAATTAGCCCTTCAGCCTTGTTGTTTATTTATAATGAGCCTATTTCAAGGAAAATTTATGGGAAAGCCGCGCTTAAAAGCTGAGAATTTACTGATGAACGCGTAAAGTTTACTCGAAAAAATTTACAGGGATACCGTAGAGCACTGACTAACTACCTGGGTTTTTTTTACAAATCCACCTCCAAATTTGTAAAGTATCTAAATAGTCTAATTAGGAGGGTATTTTAATAGGAGGTGGGGGGTTTTTTTAATTAGAATATACAGTATAATCAATATATATAAAATATACAGTATATTAAATTTTTTGCGTATTTTTTATCACGTTTTACTTGTATTATATTTCACAATTTTTTAAAAATAGTTGTTAAAGGAAACTAAAAGTCTAAACATTCTAGAGTTACTTTCAAAAGTTGTTAATGGTTTTGTATTTTTGTAATGTTCAAATCGTGTTTATATAAAAGCAAAACATTTTGGTTTAGAACCAAGCCAAGTTTGTAATTGAAGAAAAAAAGACCAGTTCAGCATCTCATTTATTAAAATTGCATAATAGTAAACAACCAGTTTTTTTCAGAATTAACACAAGAATTAGCAGAATGGATTACTAATTGTTATGCACAAATTTTAACAATTACAAGAAATATGACAATAAAAAAAGTCAAAGAATTTTCACAAACTGAAAAATATCAAGAAAAGTATTCTACAATTTCTTCATTTAAATTTTCACATATATGAATAGATTGCTTTATGATCTATCATGATTTGTTAAATAGACAAAAAATGGTTATATTTTAATTTTTACCAGAGGATTTGCTTGAAAAACAACAGAATTTATTCTTTATAAAAGTATACAATATGATTATCAATTTATTGTAAACATGGATAAAATTATGCAAATCTTTGACATCACAATCTCCAGAATTGTCTTATTTTTTTTTTGACTTTCTTAATTTTATACTTTAAAAAAGTGTGGTTTTAATATTATTAGTATTAAACTACAGGATATAAAAGAAGTATGTTTACAGTTAGTTATATTAGATTAAATGGCTGATAGGTAAAAACTACCTTTTGTTATTATTTTTAAATTGAAAATTTACTTTGAATTATCAATAAATACATAGTATATTTTGCTAATAAGGAATAAAAATATCTATAATATCTATCATTCTTGAAAAACTTTCTACATTTTTATCAATACCCTTTCAATGAATTTCTTTTATACTGTTAAAACAAATATTAATTAATCAAATGAAATTATCTGAAAGCTAATTTTAATAAAATTTAAATAATTTTATTAGAGATATATAATTTCACATCTATCAAAATAAGAAATTCAGTCACCAGAGATTTTTTGATATAATTATATCAAAGAACCTCTGGTGACTTGGATCAGATTATGACAGTGATGATATAATCTAATGATAGTGATGTAATCTAATGGTTGTGGTATAATTTAATAGTGATGGTATAATCTATTAGTGGTGGTATAATCTAATGTTATCCCTTCGTCTGTAATGCAGGCAAATTTGCTTGCAAATTTTTTTAGATTTAAATTATTATTAACAAAAATATTAAATATTACAAAAAATAATTAAAATTATAAAATTATGACTTTTTATCTATAATGTAATTAAATTTGACTGTAAAATTTAACATATTTAAATTTTTATGCAATAAGCAAATCATTTGTATCACAAATAACTTGCAGGCAAATTTGCCTGCGAATTTTTTAAGTTTATTAGCAAATAGTTTGATTTAAATTTTATGAAAGAATTGTTAAAATATGCAATTATCCTTTTATTTGTAATGTAAACAAATTTGTTTAAATAAAATAAAATTAATAAATAATAAAATCAAAAAAAAAGACTAAAGAAGGAGGTTTGGGGAGGACTTGATCCCTTCCAGAAAATTTTTTGTGTAACATATTTTCTGCATGTACTACTGCAGATTATCATATATATTTTAAATTTTTAAATTTTTAAATTACTATTCCCACTCGTTTGTAATGCAGGCAAATTTGCCTGCAATATTGTACTATGGTAATACAATTTCAAATGTATAAATAATTTTTCTTTAAAGATTTTTGTAACATAATAAATTCATATGAAAATTAATTTTTTAGTTTACGCCATTTTTCAATAATAATCTTTACATTTTTTTAGCAATTTTTTAGATAATAATGACTAAACAAATTGAAGAAGATAATATTATTTTTGATGAAGAAAATTATATTTGTCGATTTACATGAAAGTGAGATCATTTAGATGAATTAAATGAAGATAATGAAGATAATAGTAATAAGCTTAATACTAATAATAATAAAAGAAAAACAAAAAAAAATGATAATGAAACTGCTGTACATCAATCAATTTTAGAATTTACGCCTTATCAATATACTCATCAATTACATAATTCAAATGTAATTTTACCAAATTCTCTTCAATTTAATATTACTCCATTTATTATTTTTTCACAATTTTTTTCTTCTAAACAAATCGAAACTATTGTACAAAATACAAATCTTTATGCTTAT